CACTTTTGTGAATTTGTCTCTTTTGGCATACTCGTCAGTTGCACTCTTGAAATCTGTCTGGATTCGCGCTAGGGACTGTTTCACGTTATTTCTTATCTGGTCCACGTATTCCTTGTTGCAGCATCCTTTTTCAAAATAGGTGTTTTGACATTGCACAAATTCAAATTACCGAAATCTATATCGCCTTTAGGAGTATGTGCTAAGCCGCCGTCGCCTGATGCAATCACCACCAGTTTTCGTTTTCTATCCGAACTACGTCCGAACTTATCGATTGTCATCTTTGAAATGACTGATATTTCATAAGCTTATATCTATTGTATAATGTTTGCCTCTTTCAGTTCAGAAATAATGGATACAATCTCATTGTCGAGAGAAGTATTTCCAGCCTGTTTTGATGCTATGAGCAATCTCAAACGTTCACACAATTCATTAGGATAATCCCAATAGATGTATTCCACAGGCTTGGTATTGTACGTATTCATCATGGGTTCTCTGTTCTTGATATCTTGGTGGATCTTCAAGCCTCGTCCCGTTGTACCACGTCGTGTTCTTGCTTGCGAGGCTGCGGCTGCTGCTGATGGGGGTGGTGGTGGAGGCAGAAAAAAAGGTTTAACGATTTTCCTGTACTTGAATCGTGGACTATGTTTGATCTTTCCATGTACAATCAGATGGGCCTTTGATAGTTCCGAAATTCGTTTGTAGCCATACAGATCATCTTTATTGTAATTTCCAGGGACATCGTAGAATATCAGCTCATATATACCAGGAGTTCCTTTCACTTGTTTCCCATCAATTTTGATGTAGCCAGTACGTGCATCAAAATCGATTTCTTTGTAGCCAAGCCTTCATTTTGAATTGCTAGAATCATATATAGGACCATATATCTTGTCTATTTTATCGCTGTTGGTCCAATGTTCTTTCATGAATGGAATGCTCATCGGAGGAAATTGTTCCAGATATGCCTCAATAGCTGCAGGATCAAAGCTCTCCACATCACCTTCATCTTCTCCTACATCTCCTTTGAACACTTCATCACCAAAACTTTCGTCACTCGTACTAGCAACACGTTCAAGTTTCTGAAACGGTAGTCCATAAGCTTCTTCTTCTCCTTCCTCTTCCTTTTTAACTTTCTCTTCCTTTTTCGGTAGCAAAGGTTCATTTTTGATGGCTGTGTTGTATAATGAAGTGTTTGCTGCTATTATTTCTTTCAGTGGTGCAGATACAGGTTTGAAGAATTTCTGCAACGTTTCATCCTCCTCTGATTTGCCTAATTTCAAAGCTAAATATTTCTTTTTTAAAGCCTTGGCTATTTCATTGATTTTATTTTTACGAACGACATCCACTTCTTTGCTGGGTGGTTTCATGTTGACAAATAGGCTTTATCACATCGAGTTCATACTTTCATAAACTTATCGAAGCCTTGACGATAGCGACCTGCGTTCAGATCGTGATCCTTAACAACAACCATTGCACCATATTTTTCACTCCAACAATCCGCACAAGTTCGCTTGAATTGATCGAATGTCATGTCGGGCGAGACGTATTCATCAAACACGTGCTTCAAATTCACCTCATCCTGTTTGAAGAGCACCACTAGGTTGGTGTTGTCGCGCAACATTTGCTTGGGGGCTTTACTGTACGTCTGTCCTATGTATATAGCATCGATACCTCGATGACGACACATGGAATAATACTCTTGAATTTTCTGTTGTGAATCGCACGATATTCGAAAATAAAAATGGAATTTGGTTTTGCTTCATTCGGGCCCATAATTTCCTCATTAGCTTTGAATGGGAAATATCCAACACCTTTGACCATTCTCAGTATCTTTTCAAGCAACTGGTATTTGGGTTGGTACAGCGACTTTGAGTACACGTAGACGTTTTCGAATTTGGCACCATTGGGATGGAACAACAATGACAGTGCAGCATTCGTTTTTCCACATCCACTTGGAGCACAAATAATGGCGCGAAATGAGTGTGGTAACAGGACACCATGTTTACCTCGATCGATTCCGCTACTGCTGTCATTCAAGTAGTCCAAGTTTTCGATTGGTAGCGTCTTTTTCTGTTGAACGACCCTCATGATGTATGACAATTCACAGAGCATTGAGGGCTTTCATAAATGGAGATGATTTCCAACATCAGTGCTCATTCTTAATGTTGATCTACCGCGGTGGAGGTATTGTCAATACACTCATCAATAAACTACCATTCGAATTACATCTTCCTGGTTATTCGTATTGTGGTCCAGGAACCAAAAATCAAGAACGACTAGAACGTGGAGATATAGGCATAAACACCTTGGACGAAGCCTGTAAAGAGCACGATATCGCCTACTCTCAGAACAACACTTTGGAAGAACGTCATAAGGCTGATCGAGTGCTGGAAAATAGAGCTTTGGGACGTGTCAAATCAAAAGACGCGAAAAAGCTGCTGCTTGGCTCGTCACCACCGGTATGAAGACAAAACGTAAACTTGGCATGGGGGTGACGAAGCAGCAGCAGCAGCAGCACCCATTCTCCAAAATCGTGAAAATGTGCTGAATGCTCTGAAAAAAACCTTTGACAGCAACGCTGACGGTGGTAGTCATCAAGGTAGTGGTTTAAGTAGATCATCTGCAGCAGCTTTGCGTGCAGGCCATAAGGCAATGAAAAAAGTTGGAGGTCGGAAAAAAATTCGAATTCCCAGAATAATACCTCTGCCTGCCGCAAGAAAAAGCGGTGGATTCCTACCATAGATACCACTATTTGCAGGCCTATCGGCTTTAGGATCGCTGGCTGGGGGAGCAAGCGCTATCGCAAAGACAGTAATCGATACCAAGAATGCGAGGAAAAAACTGGAAGAGGATAAACGTCACAATCAAGCTATGGAGCATCTGGGTTCCGGTGTGTATCTACGTAAAACACGTAAAGGATATGGACTGTATTTTAAAAAGAGAGGAGGTGGTGGTCGCGGCGGCGATAGAGGAGGAGGAGGTGGCAGCTGTGGAGCTGGATTATTCTTGAAGAAACAAAAAAACTGATATCCAAGCTACCCAATAGAGCATTATATGATGGAGAGATTGTAAAATACGCCAAACAACTGAAAATACCATATTTTCGAGGAGTTTTCATGCGAGACACGCTACCTACCCGCCCATGACGACGTCGTGAGTGTGCAGTCATGAATTTAGATTCCTCCATCAATCCTGGTACCCATTGGGTAGCTTATAAAAACATGGGGATATTGTTCATTATTTCGATTCGTATGGTTGTCTGAAACCGCCGAAGGAATTAGCCGAATATTTCGGAAACAACGTGCAGATATTCTATAATAATGATGTCTATCAGAAATACAATCAAATCTATTGTGGTCATTTATGTTTAGCATTTCTACTGAATTCGAAATTAAAATGATGAAAATGAAAACCAAACTATTTAAGTTATACATACCTCTACACTGATCCATCAGTCATGTCTTTGATATTGACATTGAAGAGTCGTTCTTCGACGCTCTCTATTGATTTTTCACCTCCAATTCCATTAGATTCCGATTATGAATATGGCTTAGCTCTACTCAGTTTCCATTCGTACAACAGCGTGCCCAACATCGAGGAAGGAACAAAGTTCTATTATTTCGAAAACGGTGACAAAAAACGAAGAAAAGTATTGATATTCCTACTGGAGCTTACGAAATTGAAGATATTGAAAAGCTGATCAGAAAACATCTTATAAAAAATATAATGTCATTGTCTCCATCGCAGAAGCCTGAAGACCTTTTCTATCTCAAACCGAATAATAATACTTTGAAGAGTGAAATTTTCTGCAAACATCATGTAACCGATTTCACTCAGAACAATAGTTTGGTCAACATATTGGGGTTTTCGTCGAGAATCTCGGAAAATGACATTCATCATGTGTCAGATCAGCCTGTGAATATTATAAAAGTTCGAACAATACATGTCGATAGCAACATTACCTCAGGGGCCTTCTACAACGACAGACCATCTCACACGATCTACGAATTTGCCATCGATGCTGACCCTGGTTACGCTATCGACGAAACACCGAATCACCTCATTTATTCACCCATCGCTGCCCATACAAACGAAATCTACAACATCACGCTCAGAGTGCTCGATCAAAACTTTCAACTGGTCAATTTCCGAAACGAAGAAGTCATCATCCGATTGGAACTGAAAAAATTATGGTCCTGAGTGTTTATAAGAGTCGCACCTCCGTTCCTGCTCCTTCAGTCTTCAAAAAGACATTCATCAACCACATTGCCCGCCGCCCACTCAGTACGCGGAATATAGCATTTCTCAAGTCACTCGGCTATCATGTTATTCTCTCAAGTGTTCAACATATTCCGAAAGCCTCACGTCGACGAGTCCATACAAAAGGTCGAATGGAGAACATACTGCCCTTACGTCAAGTCGTTTCGCAATAATGATGTCATAGAAATCAACATCAATCAGTCTGATGCTTTCGATGCTCTCTATGAAAGTATCTTACACATCAGTGGAAAAGTTACGAGAACTGAAGGTGCTGGACATGTAGCTTCCGTCAATAATGCCGGTGCCTATATGTTTCAATCCATCAGCCTGGCAACCCTGTCTGAAATGGAAGAACGTTTTTCCTGTGATTCTTTTTCATAGAATTCATGGTAAGAAGATTGAGGTATGAACGGAGCAATAATTTGAGCTAATGCTATATAGCTGAACAATCATGAATAAATATCATTTGTTCCTACTCAGCTTGATGAACAGACTAAATTTCATTCTTGACAAAAGAAAAAATGAATGTATACAGTGGACCAAGATTCATAATTAGAATGAAAAGACAAATAGCTGACAAGCAGTTGCACAGGGACTTGTACCTCATAGTGTGCTCAGAGGTTTGGAAAATTTTAGGAGAATTTTAAGAGAAATATAACTTTTCAACCTGGTAAGGTAGTTGAGGGTAGGTTGACTAACTACATCTTCATGTACTCTACATGTGCTTATTTTTATCAAATATATCAAGTACCTGTTTCTGACGCTTCATTGTGGGAATCTGATGAGGAAAGGAGCAAGGGAGGAATAATTTCTTCTTGTCTTCTTTCTGAATCTGGAGTGTTCTCTTCAGAGGACGATGATGATGAGGAAAGGAGCAAGGAAGGGTTCATTTCTTCTCGTCTTCTTATTGCTATAAATACAATCAACATTCGTTAATGCGATGGAATTCTTTATTTTCTCATGAATAAAAGGTATATATCTACATGAGTATAATGTTGTCAGATTATTGGAAAATTATTATTAACTGAAATGAATAATGGTGATTGATAATTCATTCAGAAAACGGCTGTCATAAATTGTAGAATTCTTTTGATGCTTCAATGTTGAAAACCAAATTCTCAGTAAAAACATATTGAATTTGTGTTCCAAACATTCACACTAAAACAACTAAGAACTTCCCCGCCTAAGCAGAGTTTTGATATTTCAGTTGATATGGATGCTTGGATGATATTAATTGCTGATAATAATATGTAAATACTTACCTCTGTTTATGATGTCCTCCATTTCATTTTCATTTTGCTGGTCATCTGAAATTTCATGAAACTATTGAATCAGTATGTAGGTAGATATTGAATATTTTCATTTCTAATCTGGATTCCATTTGTAACTAACATGTAATGATTATTGTTTTGCACATGACTTTGTAAATTGATGAACTCTCACAAGAGAATCACTACCAGCTATAAAGAAACTCACTATTAGTAGCCTCCTGTACTTGCTCTTCCCCTCGCTCTTGCCCTTGGGCATTGTTCTGATCATCTGAAAAATAAATATTGCTCTTGTGACTGAACATGCTTCTATTTATCATGAATCAGTCTAAAACTTGTGGGCATCACTAATTAGTAAAATTTTAAAGACTGATGGAGATTCCTAACTCACCGTTACCAAACTCTGCCTCACTTCCTTCCCCAACATTATCATCTGAAAATTCAATTTGATTTTTTTATTGTGATAAATGGTGCACCATAAAAATACACTTCTGAGAATCTTCGAATAGTAGATCAATAGTAATGAAATAATAACTCACTAGCAATAGCTTCTGGCTCTGGCTCTGGGTCTTGCAAATCCAGATCATCTGAAAAATTAATATTCGGTTCATGAATAACCATGTTGTGATTGTTATGTTGTGATTAAATAATTTCATTACGTTTGAGCCTGGGTCTGAGCATGTTTTGATTGTAATATATGAGTTGATATTCTTATTACATTATCATGGAACAGTAAAATTCCTCAAAAATAGATAAACACAATTAGCAATGATGAAACTCACTGAACTCATCATCTGTATCTAGCAATGGCCCTTCCTGCGATATAAGAACCAATCAGAATGGTGTGTCTCGATGGTACGTTGCTTCTGCCGGTAAGACCACGTTGTCACGGCAACCACAAAAGAATGACATCTTATCAGCTGGTAAGACATGGATATAACAGGTTCATTAGGTCATGGAATTGTCTCAATAAATACAACTCGTAATCACAATACTATCGAAAATTCTGTCAGAAATCTTGAACTCAATCAAATTGCTTTGAGGTAACACCACTCGTCCTGCGGACTCATGATGTTACCAAGCAATTGGATCCCTTTTGATTATTGACAGAATTACTATCGATAGTATTGCGAGCACTCCTGGTATTACCCTCGACGACCTTCTTCCACTCTTTTCAGGAACGGTATTTATATTGAAAACTTTCTGACGTCGATCCCTTCTCGTGCGTTCAGCATACATATTTTAACATAGAATAAAATGTTCCATGCACCTCTGATGATTTTTGTAAGGTTCAATAAGTATTTTCTAGGGTATAGTTGTAGGAGGCCGGCTATAATTCTTCAGTTGTTCTTACATCGTAATTCACATGAGATAAGGTAATGCAATCTTTTTTTTTTCATTTTCAGAATAAACTTATAGGCTGTTTTGACTTACCCAATGTTGGCTGGAACAGTCGTGCCAACCTCTCCACTGTGTGGCTCACTCGTCTCAAGAACAAATTGATATTAGGATTATCCCCAAACAGCTGTTGAGCCCTTCTTATCACCCTTTCAGCATTCTGGTAGATTGGTCTACGCTGTCTGGGGATTGTCAATCCGTTCTCCAGACGAATCAAGTCACAGCTCTTGGAGTGCTCTACTGTCTTTAAGTTTTGAATTAGTACCCACATATTGGGATGTGCTCTGCCAACAATACGGAAGAGATTCCTATGGAATGACTCTACCGCATTGTTGGTTCTTCGGGAGAGGCCATATATGGAGATGTTTCTCGGTGCCCAGAAAGACCTCAAATACTGGATAAAACTTCCTGTTTGCGGCACATTTTCTGCGGCTGATATATTGATCCCTGTCCCAATTGAGGCTTCCGGAAGAAGAGGTAAGGCCATGGCCATCTTCACAATTCTCTTTTGTTCTCCATTATGCGGTAGCTGGGTAATAGATAGAATATTATTCAAAGCAATTCAATTTTAATGTTGAAAATCACCTTTAGTTCTAGAATTACTGATATTATTGCGAAACGTGATTCAAAAATTTCAACATAACATAACATGTAACATAATGGCTGTTGAATTATTTGTTATTAGTACTTCATGAAATGACAGCTCATTGGTACCTCTGTATGGTATGATTGTAGGAGGTGAAAAGTCATCCCCAATAGTGGAAAGTATATGGGTATCAATTTTTTGTTCAATTAAGTAATTCGAGGAAAAAATTTGAAATAGAGTATGTGAAAATAATTCAACATCATAAAATGTCAAGCTAATCTGAATAAGAATTCAGAATCAGGATTTTTTCCATCATCATTAGTCATCAATCAAAATGTAGGAGGTCCACTAAGAGTGGCCATTTTATTCTGGATGGATATTTTCTACATAATTCCAATACTAAATAGATAATTGAATTAACTCAAGATAGAGATATCACTCCACTGCCTTTGTTATTTGAAAATGTCTTTCAACATGGCACCCAGCCGTTATTCATTTGATATGGACAGCTTGGAGCAAGAAAATCATATTTGGTTTTCCTCTGACTGTTTTTCCTCTGACTGTTTGTATTTTCTGTATTTCAGAATGAATTTTCATAAGTTTATCGGGGAACGCGAGGGGGGTGTCCGCTATGCCCTCTTCCCCACAAATGCGCCCTTGGTAGAAATTAGAAGACATCAAGTTATGGTAAAGTTTGATGAAAGGATTCCATATCTCTTCTCGAATATGGCTATGAGTATATCTAGATAATACGAATACCTAATGATTCATGATAGAGCAAGATCCCATGAACGCCAGACTTTCGTTATTTTATAGAGAAATCACGTCATGCATTGCCAGACACTTATCATGGTGGCTTCCTCTTGCCAGAAACCGTGAAGAACCTAGTAGAAAAATTCTACTGAAACAAGTCGAATTTTATTTTCATTATTCCATATTCTTGAGGGGAAATTGAATATACCGATAATCCACATCTGGCTTACGATTTTCGCGTCAATTATTTCAAACGAACCACCCTATATATTATTCAATTTTCAGAATCTACATGGCAAGCTTAATTGAAACATATATTCAATGATGATGATGGCTTACGATTTTCGCGTCAATTATTTCAAACGAACCACCCTATATATTAATCAATTTTCAGAATCTACATGGCAAGCTTAATTGAAACATATATTCAATGATTCAATAATTCAATAATTCAATGACCTCTTCTGCTAAATAATAATTCATTTTTTGCCAAACTATCCATATCTGAGGAATCTCCTGAGACAGAGGTCGATTTCAATTTTCAATTTGCCAAATTTATAAGGCCACTTTGCATATACAAGGTGATCCTCGTATACATTTTTCAAGTATTGGATTCTTGTATGGAAAACTACGTCGGTATTTTTATTGGAACCTCATTCTGCCATAAAACTAAATTTAACCACTACACAAATCCTATGTGTCATATATACTTGAATTCAGCTTCTCATGGAGATCCCAAAAACAGAATAATATATAGGAAATTACATTTGAAAAAATCATCGTGGACGTCGTCAATCAGACGTGGATCACCCGGTATATCAAATTTTTTCTCACAAATGTGGAAAAATTGAAATAAAATTCGACCTGTTCTAGTAGATATCTCAGAAACGGATAGTTTTGCTAAAAATGAATTCATCCACTTCACGAGAACCCTTAATGTAACGGACGCACACGTATACAAACCCAATGTGTGATAAATGTGGCAAATTCAGATGAAAAATCGACCCATTCGAAAAGATTCTTCAGAAATGGATAGTTAGAAGTGGTTAGCATCATCAGAATGGTCTGGCTACTGAGGAAACATCTTCTAATAATTACCCAAATTATCATGATAAGTGTCTGGCAATCCATGACGTGATTTCTTATATTATTCCGGGGATAATATGTAAAAATTACGATTTATAATTTGACGAAAGCAAGTTGGTATTTTTGACACCTTTGCTCCCTGTAACCAGCCACCATGACCTCAACTCCATATTTGTCTATCGTTTTTACTTGCGTTGGGAGCATGCGCTGAGAAACTTTCAGCTTTTATAAAATAACGAAAGTCTGGCGTTCATGGGAGCTTGTACTATGAAGATAGAGTGATAATTACCTGTAACCCCAACCTGCAAGATTTTCTATACACTGCCTGGCAGTAGTGGAACCAGCACCCCTGCATAATCACTGTAGGCCAGATCACTGTAACAGCCGACCTGAGGGATGCCTCATAATCTGCCATTATGGAGGCAGGCACCATGCCTGGCAGAATTGTTTCCATGAAATTAAAAACCTGTATGTATGCAGATGTGGTTTTCCTTTGCATCAATGCATAAACAATCGGGAATACCTGTAAAATACGAACAATACTAGATATATGTATTTCAACTACCAGGGGCAGATTCCCTGATCTCTTAAACATAATAATTCATCCTGAATTACAGAAACTACGGAATAAAGTGCAGACAAGACTTTGTAGTTACCCGCACACCTACTGAATATGTTTCCTATTTTTTTGCTTCAATGGGAGTGAAAACTACCTTCAAGTAATTTTTATAAGGCAAAGGCGGTCGAATGATCCCTCATTCAAAGAGAAATTCAATTCTGAAGGAAAAATGTCCATCCAGAAAAAAATGGTAATTGTTATAGGTTATGGAACTCCTACACTTGATTTTTGCGAATATAAGACTATTGATAATATTAAAAATCCTTATGTGTTGAAACTCCTTTGGATTGACTCAACATTTTCTAAGGTCAGAAAAATAAATAATCGATCGTAGAGTTGCTATTTTGTGAATAAGGAATAATTATTTTACGGGGTTGAATCACATTTTGAATGCCTCACTCGACCTCCTTGCTATTTCACTTTAACCCCTGTATACAGATATGAAAAAACTTCACTCCGAACGGAGTCTTCATTTTTAATTATTTGCTGAAAAAATTACTTGTTCAGACAAATTGTATTCCCTGAATTTATTTCACAGATTTCCTGATGGTTTGGTAAGCGTGTTCATTTTCAATACACGCAGTGCACGATGGATGAAATTAACCAATATCGACCATGTTGCCAAACTGAAAATATAATTTTCATCGAACTAGGGAAAAAACTAGTTACCAGGGCCTGAATACATCAGATGGCCCATATAAATGCATGAAAACTGTGTTCAGATAGAATACACATTCAATTGATAGCCCCTTTCACATGTGTATTAAAAAAATACACACAGGCTCATATGAAAAATTTTTCATGTATCATTTTAATACACATGGGGGTTAACGTGTAAAAACAAAGTGTTTCAATATGGTGTCTCGTCGCCATTTTGAAGAGTTGAAAAATTCCATCAAAATTTCATTCAAGCAAGAAAATATATTGTCAGTTAAAAGTTAAGACGGTGGTGGTGACTTTGTGGACACACTGTATAAGACATTTGACTCTTGCTTACTTGCTAACCTAAGTAGCCATGACTTTATATGCCTCTCCCGTTAAATATTGCCTGGATCTGCCCTGAACTACTGCTATTACTACTACTGCAATACTTACCGTTTCATGTACATATATGTGGATTATGAATAACTGGAGTGCCCCACCAGCTCTAGGTACAACTTTGAATGTTGCATCCATTTGAAGGCAGATGCTGCCTGCCTCATACCGTCTTATGACGTTGCAAACTGTTGGGGATACAAATACAGCTATTTTGGAATCATCAGTGGCCGTTAATGTCGTATGATAAAACTGCTCGCCCAAAACAGTTTTTGCATATCGGTCTCTCCAACTGAAAATGTATTTATGAATTTTTCTCAGAATGTAAATCAGGTCTGTTTTCTATTGGTTTTAGAATTATTGTTTTTATTTTCAAGAATGTTTTGTTTTTTGATTTTTTGATTTTTTTGTAATGTTCGATTGTTTGTCTCAGAATGGTGGTTTGTTATTAATATAATTGGGTCATTCTTAGGAATATGTGCTTTTCGGTGTGGAAAATTTACAAAATGAAGAACACGCATTAAATCATTTATTTCGATTTGATTATGAAATTTTCAATGCATACAAATAGATCTACCTAGTGGTTGAGCTTAATCATTTATATTTTGTGGAAAATAGAGATTTTTTAATATGGCTCATTAACGGAGGTGAAATTATTTTAATGGAGGTGAAATTATTTTAACGGAGGTGATGACTCATACAAAACAAATACAAAAACATGGAAAAAATTCATTTGGTTCTCTCAGTTTCATGCCAAATTCTTGTAATTCAACGGTACATCATCAGGAAATACAAATTGTTACCTATTATTAATTGAAGGCTTTGGCAATTTTGTGATGATTTCACTTGCTAGAACTAGGGAAATATCGTCTTTACAAGGAAAACTGAATCTGTTGATACCACATTTCTGAAGAAATTTGACTGTGTATTCTTCAGTTGAGTAGACAGCTTGAATTTGTCCTATGAAATGCATTTCAATTTTTTTCCCCAATAGTCTTATAACGGCATGATCATGTTCATGAAGAGTGGAGGATGGTGATATTACGGATTCGCTAGCGTCATCGTCAGAATATACGTCTGAGTAATGTAAACGACTCTTACTACAAATTCCTGAAGAAGGAGCTGTGGTAGCTGTCAAGGAAAATTATATCATTATCAAAAGTAATCAGTGGGGAAGCAATAATGGCACATTTAATTTTGTTGGAGGAGTGACTTGAAATTAGGTGTTATATTAATTCTACTTATATCTGCCTGTTGATGTTTCAGGAATAGGGGAAGTGAAATTCAAATATAAATTATTCCAGACCCTATTGACATGTAATAATAATAATCCTTTTTTATTTAATTGAATACACATGATATACAATCATTATTACTCAATTCTACTGGCTATGGACCTAGGTTCAATAGTTTCATCATAACTTGTATTGTAAGTGTACATCCCATTCCAATCATTCTCAGTGTCTGCAAGTTGTGCTCCAGGACCACCTTCACCTGTTTTTGTTACAGTTCTATAATTTTATTTCTGTTGCTTTTGTCCTAGCTTCTCTATTCCAGTCGGCCACTCAAAAATTGATAAGTTCTGCATAGAATCAATCAAATCACGACAGTACAATACATCCTATTTGACCCTTTTCAGTTGGTTTTTCTACTATTGAATAAGCTGTGTTTTCAATTTACAATTTGTCATATTTTACCACAAGGGGCACATCTGGGATATCTTCTGGGTTTCTTCCGCAAAATTGAGGAATCTGTCCCACTGTCTGGGTTGTGTTTTTGCTCACTTCATGTTATCCATGTTCGAGTTCATTCATCATTCAATATTTTTCTTGAATCATCACAAAGTTCGATTTCAAAATCGAACAACAAAAACGTTTACCTAACCTCAAAACGAAAGTAACCTTGACAGGACAAAAAAAAGGAGAAGTTATTATCTCGAGCATTATCTTTTTCTTCTTCTTTAGCTTTAGTTATCTTTTTAGTTTTTACAATGAATGAGTTCTTGCATTTGATGAATTTTGCGATAACAATTATTTCAATACATTGCTAGCAATATATTGTACAAAGATTAGTTTTCACAATACATTGTTAGTATAATATCATATAAATCAGTTTTTGCAATACATTGAAATCAATGTATTGCAGAAACTATATTTTTACATTACAATGCTTGTAGTGTATCTCACCATCGTTTTAACCATACATTGCAAGTTGATGTATTGTAAAAACGTTTAATTTTTGCAACACATTGCAAAAATTGGCATTTTCACAATACATTGCCGCAATGTGTAGCAAAAATAGCAGTTTTTGCTATACAATGCTCTTCGTGTATTGTAGAAATGTCCATTCGATCCAATGTATATCAAAAAGTAAAAAGGCGTTCCATATATTGTGAGCAGATATACTATTCATTCAAAATATTTCGACTCAACATTCTGCTGAAATTGCTGACTATCAAAAGGTAGTGTGGCTTCAGTGAACTATCATAATTTTGTAAAGGGAAGGAATGTCACAATCATTTCCATTGTTTCCAATCAATAATAAACTGATATCAGAAAATGCATGTGTAATAATTGACGCTGAGAATAATAGGGAGTATGACGTAGAGGTAACAAAAGAAAATTGCACCAGCTGATCAACTGCTGCTGATTATTCTGATGAAAACCATGAAAGCAGAGTCAGTGGATCTACTGAGTACTGATCAGTTGAATTCGGAATATACAGTGCGTTCCACTAAACGTTCGCGGCGCTCGTGACAACTATTTGATCGTTGGTTCCACATAACGATCGCGGCGGCTACATTGTTCATCATTACGTCAGTAATGACGTCATTGTTAAAACCAAATTGAGCTCGCAACGCTTGTTGTTTTTAGATGGGTCGGCGGTGGCTCCAGTAAATTTGCCCGGGAAATTTGAAAATATTTCTCACGTTTGTTCTAGGCATTGGTTTTTAGTTATCAGGAAAAATAACGTTTTTTGATTTCGAAAGGAATACGGCGGTTGAAGGTCTGTTGAATCCAGAGGATGCAGAATGTGCCCTTAATAGTCTGAATTTCTTTAAGATAATTCTGTTTCACTGTCTGAAAAAAAAATTGATGTTGGATCCGTAGGAATGGTTAGAAATAAATTAAAACAGTGAGTATTTACATGTTCTATCAACATAATTCTAATGATTCTATATAGGGTGCCAACCAGCCGCCATATTGATTCTAACCTAGGTTGGATTGCCTAATACCGTCCATTCCATTTATTTTTCATTTATAATTATTTATTTACTTGTCAAGCCAAATGACAGCAGATGTCACAGTAGAAAAACAACCTCCGCCGTTCCACTTGAGATTTTCGCTAACACGATCGTATTCATTGCAATGGTAGTGGAACGGGATATTCTGCGATCGTAAGCGCTGGCGTTGCGATCGTTTATTGGAACAGTGGAACGCACTAATAGCCATTGATAAAATGAGGACAATGCATGAAAAATGGCCGCAGTTTCGGTGTGTCAGTTGTCACTGGACGTCAAAATATCATTATGGTCACATTTCAAATTACTTACATATTTACTGAAATCATGATTAAGAGTCAGAAAACCAAGAAAAGCAAATCAGAAGAAGAAGAAGAAGAAGAAGAAGAAGAAGAAGAATATGATTCGCCTTGAAATATAATTGAATTATTGTGTTTTTATCCTGGAAGAATCCCAGTAAAATTCAAGCAAATATACCCACGTAGCACAAGCAGATGAGCCAGAAAATTGTAAGATTTCACCAGAAACTTGGAATATATCAAATATGATCGTTCATAAGACTGCAAGTACCTACTCACCCCAAAGTCCACAGAGTACCTAATACAGATCGATAAAACTGTAAGATTTTACAAGACAAGGTAAAGAAGGTATACTACTACTCAAATTTTTCACCGATACATTATTTGCAATCTATTTTGTTTTTGAGTTTCAGTTTACCAACCCCATTCATATTGATGCTCTATCTGTCCATGTAGAACAACTCGAAATGCATAGTATTGTGAAATTCCATGCAGAAAGATATCAAGAGATACTTTCATTAGAGCAAGCCATGCAATGGTTCCAAATATTGAAGTGAATTAGTAGAATATGAGAGATATGACACTTGTTATACTTGTTATAGAAAATATCTAAAATGAAACTCAATAATATAATACATATAGGTTTAATAATGGAATAGGTGTTGAATGTAAGGAATATGGGTAATACCTATAATCAATACAAATTATATATCATAAAGTTGAGATGAATATAATATATCAGTCAGCTGAGAATTATTCAATGAGTGCTAATGCCTACCTATCACCATACAGTTTCGAGAGCCATTGTTGTAAGTAGTATACATACCTGTTGGAATTGAGATTTTGTTGTAAATATGGACTTATATTTTGAAGAAGCGATTTTCCAGTTTGTGGTAATATGCACACATTTTTGAATGCAAGAAATGTTAGGTATACATCAGTTGCAGTAATTTTTTCATGAACAAGTTAAGAGTTCTCAATTTAAGTTGGATGTGTGAAAATCGTTAATGATCATGAGTTAACAATATATTAATATGAATAGGTAATGACACACTATATGCAGAATATAATAGGTATATGTAGGTTACATAATATATAATACAGTAATAGTATATAACTTGATTTCACTGTTGTTTTAATCGTAAGCTCCTGGAACCATCGAATAACCTGTCAAGTAAATCGATAACTGGAATATTCAACATCTGAATTCATAAATAGGTGAAGTTTGCGAAAAAATATTCATTTCAAGAATCAATTTTCAATAAATCCTATCACTTTTAATCAAAGTTCATTCAGTATATGGCCAATTAATCACTGAAACTATTGAACACTGATATTCAAATATTGATATAGGTATAAATGTCATCCTTTTATCATTTTATTATTGATAACAACACATAATGTGATGGAAAGATTCTGTTTTCAAGAGATTTAGGAAACTCCACTTGATTGAGTCATTTTTCTTAGGACTGCTGCTGTTCCTTGCCCTTTTTATGTTTCCTTGGATAATAGGCTGTATAGCAATATCAATATTTCATAATTGACCACATAAGAACTCAGTGCTCAGTAGGTACCTAAGTATATAGGTATGTTCAAAAAACTCCAATTTGCTGTATCCACCTTGGCACCGATGTAGTGAGGCTTTCCATATCAAATGAAATAAGGGGGTCCTCATGTTAATTTTCCATGAATCCATTCACTTTCGTCATTTCAAATTTCCTAGTTCTGGGAATCCAAGTAGGAAAAATGTGCCTATTTATTTCATTTTCACCAATCCAGCTTGACTGATTTGCAAGATTAGACCATTGAATGACCATTTTTTCCACATTATTCGTGATTGTCCTGAGATATTATATTCAAAATAAACACACATATCCTGAAATAACATGTGAACATTTGGAAAAACCAAGCAAATCACATAACCTCGAATAATTAGTTCATTATGTGCCTAAGTTGCATGAACTGGTACAAATTCAAATCATTTTTTATAATTCCAAAAATATATCTTCACATGCATATAAATTCAAAGGAGAATGGTGCATGGTGCAGAAATCGAAAGAAAGTGGGCATGATGGGAATTGGACATCGTAGGAATTGAGCATCGTGGGAATCTATGAAAAGTGGGCATGGTGGGAATCGAAGAAAAGTGGGTATGGTGGGAATTGGGCATCGTGGGAATCTATGAAAAGTGGGCATGGTGGGAATCGAAGAAAAGTGGGCATGGTGGGAATTCGGCATCGTGGGAATCTATGAAAAGTGGGCATGTTGGGAATTGGGTATCGTGGGAATTGGGCATCGTGGGAATCTATGAAAAGTGGGCATGGTGGGAATCGAAGGAAAGTGGGCATGGTGGGAATTGGGCATCGTGGGAATCTATGAAATGTGGGCATGATGGGAATCGAAGGAAAGTGGGCATGGTGGGAATTGGGCATC